TAAGGAGGACAGAGTCAGAAAGCCATGAGACCTGAAAAGAGGCCAAGCTTAAGACTAACATTTTGCATTTTACAAAAGAAAAGAAACTATCTCATTAATAAGGGTCATAGTCACCCTTGGGTTTCCCTATGTTAAACTGTTACTGCTGCTTCATGTGAAATTGGGATAGGTTATTCTGCAGGAGGATTACTTTTTGAGGGAACCCTCTTTAGTACAGTTAGACAGGGTAAAAACCACCCAGTTGGTTTAAGTTCTTCTACTTTCTGGAGTTATGGACACCAGTTCATTCACAAATGACTCAGTTGCAAAATATTCATGATATTATTCCATTCTAACTTAAAAGAGACATGGCATGGCTCTGTGGAAAAGAGACCAGAGGGGCTGCTGCTTGTCTAGGCCTCCTGTGAGGTGGGTGTGGTATTGGGTGAAGACCAGGACTGCAGAGGCCTGGACAAGGTAACCGCTGGGCAAGGGCTTGCATTTACCTGCACAAATTATTTCTGTTCCAGTGGATGTTCCTTTTCTCAGGCACCCTGCTTTTTCTAGCCACTGTCCTAGTGACCCTGTGAATTTGTGATCCTGACCCCGGAGGTACTTTAGAGGCTTTACTTTTCCACCCCACTGCTGACGTTTACAAGAGCCTCTCTTTCTGCAGGTAACCCCAGGTTCCACCTGCACTGTCTTTGGCCTTGGAGGAGTTGGCTTATCGGTCATCATGGGCTGCATGTCAGCTGGGGCCTCCAGGATCATTGGGATCAACCTCAATAAAGCCAAGTTTGAGAAGGCCCTGGCTGTAGGAGCCACATAGTGCATCAGCCCCAAGGACTCTGTCAAGCCCATCAGTGAGGTGCTGTCAGAAATGACAGGCAACAGTGGGGGCTATACTTTTGAAGTTATTGGGCGTCTTGAAACCATGGTGAGAACCAAAATTCAGGGAGCCACAAAACATACCCAAGCTATGAGATATGCATGAGATTGAGCTCATGTCCATAACTTTATTAGGTACAGAATTAAGTATTTGTCAGGCAAAAGCTGATAGCCATGGAAGGATTTCACCTAAATGATACAAATGTGAAGAGCAGTTCTACTTGGCAGAGCACAGTGGAATGGTAGTAAGCACATCTCAGTACAGAGTTCTTAAGTGTTTGTCATCTTCCTTGTACATAGGAGTTCCTGGCCAAAGTCATTCCATCTTGAATTTTGTTTAGCAATCACAAGCTAACTCCCTGAGCAAAAGGGCAGATGCAGGGTGGAAAGACACTATTCTGACGTTGCAGTCACTCCCCCAAATCTGAGACTGACCCATATTGTCACCATATTCTTCTGAGCTCTATCTTCCTTTATCCAAATTCCCTCAGAATATGGGTCTTTGAGCAGTATTCAATATTGGGTATGCTATTAGGGACTATTGATTTTTGATACTGTGAAGAGCACTGTTCTCTGAAGTATATACTAACAACTGTGTTATACTCTAGCAAGTACTTAAACATAGCTTAATGAATGGACATATGACCAGAAAATGGGGATGAGCCTCAGAGATACTACTGAGAGTCCTTTGTTTCACACCTCAGTATTTTAATTTTCAAACAAAAAGTTTAAACCTATGCTGATTAGCTTCATGTTCTTTCCCTCAAGTGACTTATGACTTACCCAAATGGTTGATACTGGTGAAAAAAATCACAAGGATTTTCCTGTGTTTTAATCCCTGGCACACTGGAGACATCACTACCCTGGCCATGCTAGTGACTGCCCAGTGTTATGAAGGAGAGATCTGTGCAGGAAGGAATGCAATGAAAGACTCGAATTTCACTGAAGATTTTTAAAAGCAAGTAGAGTAGAAAAGGATGTAGACTTAAGTTAACTTCAGACTTGAAAGCCAAGCTACTTACTAGAACTATGATAGTTCCTAGGCCTGTAAGATCTCACAAGAGGCCTGAGAAGCTAATTTTATTACTTGTTTTGAACTCAGGTCGATGCCCTTGCATCCTGCCACATGAACTATGGGATCAGTGTGGTGGTGGGTGCGGCCTCCTTCAGCCAAGATGCTCAGCTATGACCCAATGCTGCTCTTCACTGGACGCACATGGAAGGGGTGCATTTTTGGAGGTGAGGACAGCAGAGCCTGAGGGTGTTATGGGTTTCCTTCTGAGACTTGGTACGTGAAAGCAGCCTACTGTATCTTCCTCACATCTGGCTCAGAAACCTTCCTTCAACTGTGCCTGGTGGCTCACCTCTGTAATCCCAGCACAGTGGGAGGCTGAGGCAGGAGGTTGGCAAGTTCAATCCCAGGCTTAGTGACTTAGTGAGACAATCTTCAGAAAAAACATTAAAAAATAAATAAATAAATAAATAAATAAATAAATAAATGTGATGGGGTATAGTGTTATGTTTCAATCCCTAGTGTGACAGAAAATCTTTTTCTGCCAAATGAGGAAGAAAATGAACTAAAGTAGAAACATGACCACAGTAATACAAAAGATAATTATCTACTTTCCATTTTGATTTAAGGAATAATTGGTGGGCACATTTTTGGTATTAACATCAGCAATCAACTTTCACAAAGGCTTGAAGCAGTGATACCAGTAGTGTTTCTATGGGATGATCAATGTTATGTTATTCTCCATACACAAAAGAATAGAATATGCCTGAAAAATATAGAATTAGCAAAATATCTGGGCCCAAAGATAAAATAGACAATCACAAAGAGATCTTCACATGCTGTATGGATGGTTCCAGTTCACAGCAGAATGACAAAGAGTGAGGATCAGTGGGCCAGAGCCACCGTGCTGTTCTGTAATGGGTGTCCTCTGGCCTCCCATTGTCCAGCATCTTCATGATCTTGCACTTGGGGCTTTGGGAGCTCTTCCAACATTAGAGTCTGTCACCTGCAGTGTAAGAGAGTTAACAGCCACTCAAGTAACTGCTAAGAGCGTAAAAGGGAGAATAATTGCTCTTTGTTTAGACAAGTATGCAATTTGGGGCTGAATGTAAAACATATAAAAGAAATGACATATGGATAAATGTAACAAAAAATAAATGTGGTAACAAATGTAAAGGAAATTATAAGTGGAATTATTCAGCATTATAAGTTACCAAAATTTTGCATAAATGAGTTAGTTTAGTTTGTTTTTAGTAACTGAAATAATTACTCATTAACAATAAAAGTAATATTTAGAATTGCTGTCATTTAAAATTGGTAGCTATGAGGCCACAGCTTAGTTGTTTTTCTGAATTTTCCTGCAGTATTCTCTGGGGCACTGCAGTGTGGGGCTAGTTGGTATGGATGAGGTTCCTTCCAGAAGATCCTTTCTTCTTTAGAGTGTGTCATTGTCCTGTGTTTAATTTTTAAAATCTTCTGTCCTGAGGATTTTTTTTTTTTTTTTTGCAGTCTGATTTCACCTTGGCTATTTTCATTTAATCGTAAAGTTGCTAACTTCTTCAATTCACACCACACAATTCCTGTACATCACAGTTTTCAAAGTGGTCTTCCCAATGCGCTTTTTCCTGTTTTTGAGACTGGTATCATTCTTACCATTTTCTGCTGACAAAACTAAGGTTAGGAGAGATAAATAACGATATCAGTGCCTGGCCTCGTGGAGGGCACTGACTCGCTGCAAAACGTGTGTCCTGTTCGTCACAAGCCACAGATCCTTACAGAGCTCAGCAAGCTCCAGATACACATGCGTCCTCTCATGCAGGCAGTGCTTCTGGGCCTGAGCAAGGAGAGAGGTAGAATATAAGAACTGACACAGTATTATTTAGCTCTGCCAATGGGTGCCTGGGCAGTGCACACCTGAACAGCAGCCGAAAAGCCTGTCTGTAAGGTGCACAGTCATGTCACTTGTTGGATCTTTAAATATTTACTGAGCACCTTTATATATATATAAATATGAAGGATTTAGATAATAGTAAAAAGAACTGTGCATTTACCCAAGATCTAAGCTCCCACCAACTTTCCCGAGTGCCATTTTCAATGTTATGTCTGGTGTCTAAGATTGGGATAGCCTGAAGAATCATGGCATTATGGACATACATTCAAACTATTTTTAAGCAAGGAAACAATGGGTTTCATCAGAGAAACTGTACTCTTTTATTTATAAGCAAGCTTAATGGCTTTACATGACCAATTCAAAAATATTTGTCTTCTAAATAAATCCTTTCAGAAATTTTGCTTCCAATTTTGCCCTCATGCAGTGACCCTGAAGTGGTATTTATGACCAAATCCTTGTTTCCATATGCTTCCTTCATAGCTCCCCTGAATATCCCCCTCACCTCAACGTCACCCCTAGTAACCCTTTCACCTGTTCTCATCTCAGAAAACACTATCTCTGTTTCTGCTTTTATGGACTAGAAGTCGCAGCACCCTGTGACTTCTTTTTTACTCTTGTCCACCACAAACAGATCTATGCTAAGCACACAGGTGCTTCCCAGGTACCTCCCTTGTGTTCACTGCAGCCTTTCCTGCTCCTGGACCCCTCTGGGCCTTGGTACAGTGTGTTGCAGCTCCTTTGGATGTGTTAGCACAGGAGGCGGATAAGGGTCCTGCTTCTGGGTCACTCTTCACCCAGCTTCCAGACTCTGGCTGCCCCCAATATCAGTGCCTCAGCATAGTTTCAAAAGCCCTCAACGCCAAATTAAAGCCTATTTTCATTATTAATATACTTACATAAATGTAGCCCCCAGTCTCCTGTATCTTTTCTACTATGCTTTCAGGGATTTTTCTGATCTCTTGGGCACAGAAAGGCTAAGTACCTTGAACACCTCTTCCTATTTGTGCCTCCTTGGCCTTGTGCACACTTTCTTCTCAGCCTGAATTCCCTTTCCTCTCATGAGTGCACTGTGGTACATGTACTAATGCTTCCAGAATCAGATCAATACCTAGTGGAGAAGCTTAGGGAGAATATAAGGCATAAGGATCTCAGGCTCCAGGGATTTACAGGAACAGATTGTCTGATGTTTTGAAAAAGCAGAAGAAATAATTGTCGGGCTTGGGAGATAGCTCAGTAGAATAAGCACTTCCCTGGCAAGTGCAATGACCTGAGTTCAATGCCTGATTCTGCCAAAACAAAACGGAAAAGAAAAGAAAAAAAAGACATAATTGTTTAAGCTTTTTTTTTTTTTTTGAAAAATAGGAGTAAATCACTAAAAAGTCTAATTTCACCTTTCAGCATTCGAACTGTCTTGACCTTATAAGATCCTGGGGAGGACTCTGTGGACCTTTCCTTTTGTGATTCCCTCCTTGGAAAATGCAGCTGTGTAAGATCTTATGCACACTGAGATGCTTTATAAAGGTTTATGAGTCTTACTAACAACTGGAAATCTTATAAACACCTGGGAGTTAGCATGGGATTAAATAACAAAATTGTAACTTTATGCTGCCTTGGATTGTAAGTATATATCTTAAAAAGCATACTTTCGGTGTTCTATGTTGGGCTGGGAAGTTTTCTTAGAGCCTTTGCTAACTGCTGTTACTTAAAGCAAACAGCATGCAAAGATGTAGTCATTGTATTTTGAAAGGTAATATTCCTTGAACACATTAGCACTATTCCTGTCTGGATTTGAATGTCAATTCTTTAAACTGCTCATTAAAAATTAACTTAAATTGTGAAGCAAGTTCATTGCACTTTACATGTTTGATTAGGTTACGAAAGAAGGGGAAATTTTCCAATGTTTAACTTTATCATTAGATAACTTGGTGAAATTAAATATTTATAAGGGTACTTGAGGCTGTTTTTCCATATATATTCATATTTTATAAAATATACTTTATAATGTTTTTAAATGTACAATCATAGCCAGAATCATGTTGTAATATTTATCATAATGTTCATCTTACTAAAGTAGAATTTCAAATTTGTAAGTCTCTAATTTGCTTAATAATGACTCATTTAACAAAAGGTGTTTTAAATTTGGTATAACTGCACTCGTGGATATATCTACCATTTGTTTACCCATCTGTATGTAACCACATATATAAAATGTGTTAAAAATCTTATTACAATTAAAAGTTTTACAACATGATTTGTGGTGACATAGTTTGTTTCAAAGAAGCACTTTTAGTTTGTTACCAAGATTTTACTGGTTCAGGATAAGTGATGCAGCACCTCAAAAACATAAGAAAATTTATGAGAAAAATACTAAGTGGGGTGGGCATAGCAGACACTTGGAGTTTCAGTAGAAGGACATCACATAGCTTAGATCACCTTGTCTTGATGATTTCAAAATGCCTGGTAACTATGTGCCACTTCTACATGATGTGTATTTGCTAAAGAACAGTGGCTTGATTCAAGGGGTAGATTGTCTTTTCCAGGAAAGGGTTCTTTGAAACTCATTCTGTGGGGCCAGCATTATCCTGATACCAAAAATCATACAATTACACAAAATACAAAATATAGATTAATATTCCTCATAAACACAGATGCAAAGCTTCTGAACAAGATACTAGCAAACTAAATCCAAAAAGACAAAAACAGTAAGTTATCTTTGTCCTAAGTTGGTAAAATAGTTCAGCATGTACAAACTGACAAACTTAATGCATGATATTGACAGAATGAAGGACAAAACCTCATGATCATCTCAACTTGATAATAACAGAAAAAGCATTTGGTCAAATTCAACTTGGTATTAAGAACAACTGTCAGCAAATTTTCATGTAGAAGGGATGTACCTGAACTGAATGAAAGCTACGTATGACAAAATCACAGCCCAGATCATATAGAATAGGAGAAAAGCTTAAAACTGTTTTCTCCTATATTTGAAACAAGACAAAAATGTCCACTTTCATATTGAACATAGTACTGAAAATCTTCAGAATAAAGCACCAGCAAGCAGGAGTAGGGCCTGGGGATTGGCTCCCCAGACCTGCCATGCAGGCTCCACCCCCAGGGCACACTGGGACTGCAATTGAGACTGGGCATGGTGGCGCGCACATGTAATCCCAGCTCTTGGGAGGCTGTAAACAGGAGAATCACTACGAGACTGATCTAATAGTGAGACCCTGAACACCTTGTAGACCTTTCCCTAAAATATAAAATAAAT